GGGGTGAGTGAGTATGTGTTGCACTTTAAAGATTTTTTATCAGTTCAAATGCAATTATATAAATTTTTCAATTAGAAAGTTAGGTTTTGGCAATGGGTGGAGACAAGAAATTTATGTTCAATTTAGTGGAGCACAGAACAGAAAATTAAAACAAAACTTAGAGATTGTGCTTTAAATGCTCTTGCCTTACAGATGTGGAAACTGGGGTGCTTAGAAATGAAGTGAGTTGCCCAAGGGCACACAGCGAGTTAGAGGTAGAGCCAGGACTTAAACCCAGTTTTCCTGATGTCCAGTGCAATATTCTGTGAACCACCTAACACTGTCTCTTGAAGCTAAATCTGAATTGCCAGTTCTGATACTTCTGCTTCTTCCCCAACACATCCACATAATACCTATTGTGGGAGCACAGAGGATACTTAACGGATGTTAATAGATAGGCCTGCTTTAATTAAGTCCCTTTTAACTACAAAAATGGCTGTACTATTTGTCCTTGACTTTTCCTGTTGCCTGTTCCACATTGCCATTACTTTCTTCATGTTCTTAGCTAACCTGTAGAATATGAAGTTGAGTATATTGAAAAGAAATGAGGACTCAAGAAGTCCAGGCTGGTAATAAGGAGGACTGGAAGGAGCCTTAGTTACCTGCCGGATTTGAGCTCCTTCTGGTGTTAGAAGATCTTCAAATAGCAGGTCGTCAGCCACCTTATTGATATCCCTCAGCCGTGGCTCACTAGTCTTCAAATCCTGGATGGACAATTTGCCCAAAACAGTGTGAATCACCTTCTCAAGAATTACCTGCTTATCCTTTCCCTCTCTTGGCTGAATATTAAAGCATATTGCAACTGACTGCCTTCCTCTAATCTGCCAATTAGTAGAGTACACTCAAACTCCCTGATGTTCAGTAGTGATCCAAAACTTGCCAAAACAACTAATATTTATCTAAAGTATGCAGCACATCCATAGTATATACTTAGAAATTTTCTGGCTGTAAGATCAGGTTATTCTTCCCCTCTTCCCACCCAACCCCTGCCCCATGATTAGACCTGACACAGAGTCCCACAATACCCCATCTCAAACTGGGCATCAGGAACACATTACAGTAGGGGAAAGTTTTTGAAGAATTCAGGTAGACTAGCACTCCCAGAAGAATTTGGGGGTGTCAGGGACTGAAGGCTGTAAAGATAGGGTGACAAGTTTCCTCTGCCTCTTCTTTCAGTTACTAATGGCTACAACACTCAGAGGATTATTTGAGCTGTGGAGCTCTCAGTAGCTTTGGGGAAGATATTCAACAAATATTAAATAAATTAAGAGGTCACATAGAAGAAGATGAGGGATAAAGGAAAATCATGACATCCCTCCAAAAGGGGTCTAGGGGAGAAGGCTTTCTTTCTCACCGTTTGGAACTCATCAAATTTTTTCTGCAGCTCCCAAACATCATCTAGTTCGACCCCAGTGTTTTCTGCCTTCTTGTCTCGGATCCAGTCCAACATGTCTCTTGCCTCATAGGCCAGCAAAAATTCATTGTAACGTTGCAATAGACGACGTCTTCGTTCTTCTGCCCGACTAAGGAGGGAGTGGTACCTGGGTGGTGAAGTCAAGAGAATGAGAAAGGTGGGGTAAAAGATGGAGAAAACACAAAAGTGTAGAAGCATAGTGAGAGAAAAAGAGAAAGAAAACAGCAAAAAGGAGAGAGAGGAGAAATCAAGAGAACGTAAGTGAGAGGAGGAAATAGAGATGGAAGAAAAAAGGCATAAGAGCAGAGAGACAAGCACACAGTGTTATATTTAAAAAAGATAAAAATGTCTATGTCCCAATAGCATGGATGGCAACATCCCTTCCTTCTTCTATAAAAATGAAATTTTCACATGCCAAATGGCAACTGGATAAGACATAGCCTGGTATGGTAAACAGAGTTCATATGGAAATCAGGACCTTTGATAATCTTAAAAGAATCCTGGGCAGAGAGTCAGAACACATGGTCGTATTAAGTTTCTGACCTCAGGCAACTGACTTAATGGTTCTGGGGTTCCCTTTTCTCATATGAAAGTACCTGAAGTACTCCTAAGTTTACCGTTGTG